CCCTTAAATAGAATTCATTATTATAAATCTTATGTTTTTTTTTTACTTACATATGTACTCTTAGTTCTAAAGATTTTCTCAAATTTGCTTTACTATTTTGACTCAATCAAGATCTAAATATTAGAACGATTTTATTATTAAAAAAAAGTTGTAGTAAAAACCATGTTATTAACCAAGTGGTGGTGGTTTAGTGGTTTCTACTTGAAGAGGAGTTGCTCTGTGGGTCTAGGCCAGAGTTCAATTCCCTTCAAACGCGAAATTAGCTAACCCCTCCCATTTGGTCAGTCGAAGTGGTGTCACGCTTTAAATCTGTTAGAAAACATGGTGAGTGGATTACTTGACGGCTACACTCATTCTATGAGGGAATTAGTTGGATGGTAAAACTCAGATCACCCTCTAGCTTTAAAAAAAGGAACGATGTTATTAACAAATTTTTTTCTTCATCTAAGGATCTTCGCTATATATTAATTAATTAGTTTATTTTTTGGAATGTTTGGGATTTATTAATAATCAAAATGATTCCAACATAAAAATAATATTCTTTATGTTTTGAACTAAATGTCGTTTTGACTATTTTCACACGAATTAAAAAAATAATTAAATTTTTAATTATATCTTCATTTGAAATTCGTAAGTAATAAATATTTTTATCCATTTAATTAAGGACAAAAGAGATAATTTGCAGTAAAAATTGTTTTGAAATTATAAAACGATACTGTACTATTTATTTTGTAGTTAAAGTTTCTTTCAAAACAACACTTAAATTAAATCAGAGGAAGTATTAACGGTTGGTGTTAATAGACGAGAGCCAAAGATGAGGGATAGAATGGAGTATCTGAACAAACAAGAGTAAAACCAGATCAGATCCATTGGTCTAGATTACAATGCCGAATTTGCCCTTGTGATTAACATAAATGGAGACACACGTAATAACTATTGACAAGGAAAGTCATGGTGTTGACTATCAATATGCAGACACACTTCGAACTTAACCATGGTTACTCGCACGTGCCATGTCCTAGGGTCAATATACTA